AGTTGAATTAATCGCCGGCACCACCAGCCCTCTCCTTGCCTCCGTGCCACAACACAACATTCCTTCAGTTATAACTGCAGCAACCCGAGGCAATGAAAGCGACGCATACTTCCGACATAGTTTGGCTGCCGCTTCCAGAGCAGCTCTTACAACGACTGTTTCATCTTGATTGATTACACATTTTACAAGTTATCGTATACAGATATACACACACACAGATATACAATATACATACAGATAGAGACACAGACAGATAGACAGACAATCTGCACGATACACGTATTTATTAGATTTATGGCTTGTCTTTCCGTCTGTATTGTAATGGTTTTTCTTTTCGCCAAGTGTATTCACAACTTTTAATGTATTGAAAGTATTTGCTGTGTCGAGAGAACAAGTAGTAAAAACTCCTGTCGAAAACTCTAAGCTGTGGCAATTGAGTAGAAACTGCCAGCCGTCCTTAAATTAGAAAAGTTGAGCAGCATAAAACTTTTATTAAATGTTTACATTCAAGTAAATTAATGTTGTGAATCCCATAAACTCAATGATGGACTTATGTCGGTGTTGAGAGTAAGCTTCTTGCAAAACTCTTCCAAAACATTTCAATTTAAAATAAATTAAATTGGTTTTTATTTATATTTAGCTCTAACGACAATTATTCAATTATCAACTATTTTGTCACCTAACGCTTGAGAATAAACAATGTTTAACATAAAAACAAAGAACATAAGAATGCCATACAAATTATGAAAATAATTTTTCAAGAAAATAATATAATGTAAATGTTTTCAATTATAAAAGAATTATGGCTCTCTACCCTGATCTGTCTATTTAGCAAGCCTTTTTAAATTATAGTAGTACTAAAATTTTTTAAATAGATTGAACATTTTTGTTTTAATAAATGTTTTGTGAAAAAGAAATAATGTACGCATTATAAGACAGCAATATATTTTATTTAAACCATCTCAATTTAAGCAAAAAGCAACTAGAACTATCAAATAGTAAACAACAATGATCGACTCTTTTGGTTTTTGAAATCAAATTCAGTTGATGGCCCATTTTTTTATTTTCAAAATCTATATGTTATATATGTATATAGTTTAGATAATTTAATTTCCAAGTTAACTTATCTTAATTATTAGTTAACGCAAAATTGTGACAGTCGAAATTGTCAAAAATTAAAGCTAATATTGTTAAAGTTATTTAAAAACAACCGTTTAAAATGTTGTATGTTTTATTTAAAAGTGTTTCTTTAAAAAACAATTAACTAATTTTAATTTAAACACTCAAAACTCATATTATTACTTTCCTACAAAGTGTGTTTTGTGCAATATAATTTTCATAACACACTTTTTTGGGCTATGGGTGTTCAACTGTTCTGCAATGCATACAAGTTTTAATGCATTGACAAACTGAATGGGAATTTTATATCCGGAAAAATGCATTGTTTATGTCAAATGCAGGCAAAACGCATCCACTTTTAGTTTTTATAGCATACTTTTGTGCGTGTAAGTCGTAAGTCCTAAAATCCATTTCACTTATACGCAAACGCACACTTTTATAGCTGTTTTGGCCACAAAAATGTCCACATTAAAAAGTTAACTCTCGCTGACATGACATATGCCCCCTCCAAGCAGCAACCAGCGCCAGCAGCAACAAAATATGCAGCAACCCCTCGCACCACACCACACACACTAACACTCTTTGCACAGCCCCTTGACCAAACATAACTTACACAAATACATTTCATATTCATAGTCTGCGCACATAAGCACACACAGACACACACACACACACACATACACGCATATATATGCGCGTAGCTTAAAAGCAAAAGAAATTAACTCGACAAAAGTTTGCAGAGCAGCGCACAGTGGGTAGCAGAAGGAGCTCCAGCAATGTGACACACTGGGCGTATGAGCAACGCATGCACAAACTCATGCATATACATAGGCCTACTTAGCGTCACACAACTAGCTACAAAGTGTGCGTTATGGGGTAGTGGGGTTGTTGGGGTAGGGGATAGGAAATATATATACATATATATTTGTATGTCGTGCTGCTTCGTCTGCTCTCCACACTATTTTCTGCTTAGTCGGCTCATCTGCATTTTATGGTCCAAAAATATCATCATCATTTTTTCGCATTTCATTATGTTCTGTAACTCGCGTCAAGGAACCCTCCAATCCTCCAACCTACAAATGAAACCAACAGCTCACACACTCGAAAACTTAGCAGCGTCATTTAGTATGCTTCATTTCATTATATGCCCCCACCTCACCCCACCCGCCACCCTCACCCGGTCCAACCGCCCACGATCTCTTTATCCTGCTACCTCAAAGCCCAATGCCATTTTCAGCAGCAGCTACAACTACTTTAAAAAAAAGGACTCTTAACTTTCACTGCGTTTGCTCGCTCGGTCGCTGGCTCGTTGGCTCCGTGCAACCGCAAGCATTTTGGGCCACATTTTGTGGGCAATCCTTCTGCTTGCTTGGCTGCCTCGCTCGCGACTCATGGACTAGCCACATACACACACACACACAAACAGACAAACACATACTGGCTGGCAGTTTTGCCGCGCCTGGCAAACGGTGCTTGAAATTGTCCTCTCGTTTTTGCTTTTGATGTAACTTGCAATTTTTTGTGTGTGTGTGTGTGTCTCCCTATGCTGCTTTTCGCTGCTTTAGCTTTTCTACTTGTACTTCTACTTCTGTTTCTCCTTGCCTCGCCTTGCCTTGTCATCCTCCTCGAGGCCGTCATTCTGCGTAAAACTCCTTTGGGTGTCTCTACGACAAGATATGGCCATTGCCTGCCTACTTGCCATTTGCAAACCTGCCCCTCGTACTCGCAGCTCCTCCTTGCTCGACTCATTTTTTTCTCGTAATTTTCATAAGCAGCCGTTATACGTAGGATTTATGTTTTTAAACGCCTTTTAATATGCGAGAGGATCTTCGCGCGCACAAACACAAGCACAGACAGCGAGAAAACACAAAGCCACTTGCAAATGCCGCATCCTTGTCGCCTTCATCGTCGTTGTGGTGCGCAAATCCAGTGAGAATGCGTTTAAAAAAATATTATAATAATAACATTACGTAAATAATTGTTGGGTGCCTTTGCAGCCACTGTCAACGCCAACGCCAACGCCGACGCTGGCAGTGCAGTCGCAGCAACACGCGCCACCGGAATAGCGACGGAAATCAGCTGCGTGTTGATAAGGACGAGCAGCTAAAAACGTCGTCTTCGAAGGCGTTGCGTGTTTTTCTCTCCAACTGTCTCCCATTAGTATGCGCGTGTGTGTGTTTGGTAGTGTGAGTGAGTAGGGGAAGAGGAGATGCACGGGTTTGTTGTTGTTTGCGTGCGTATTATGGTGTGCTCTGCGGTTTGTGTGCAGCTGAAGCGACAAAAGTGGAAGACATAGAACTCGAATGCATGGCATGTCGCAATTGATATGCTCTAGGGAGAGAACCATTTAGATAGCAGTATGTGACATCGATACATAACTTCAAAAAGTGCAATTTGCAAGAAATTAGTACCACATTTATAAAAGGTGGTTGAACATTGAACATTGACAGAGGGACGATTATACGTTCGCCTTAGCTTCGTTCAACCACAAAAAAAAAAGAAAACCTGGAAAATGAACATATTTCTGTTTGCTTTTTTGGCATTGCTAAGGATATACTTGTATTTTCTATTTCATTAATATTCAGAAACCCAGATTGGCAAACACACCATCGAGTTCGCCATAACTCTTTCAGAATCTCACTATTCAAGCCGATCTGCTAAAAGCCAAGAATTTTCTTGTGCTCTTGAATATTTGTTGTATGATAAACTTTCTTGAATTAAAAAATTCTGTTGATTTCAGGAGTTGCAAGAACAGTTCATGCAATGAAAACATTCTTATTATCTTATAGAACACAACAACAATAATAAACGTTAATGTTCAGTCAATCGCCTATAACCATATTTCAATTGAAAATGGGAGTAATATCTAGAAATACTCTTAGAGAATTACTTGAGTTTGATCGCAAATTCAACGCAGAAAGTCACGATCAGGATGCGCATGTGGAAATATATAATTAATTTCTTCAAGCGATCCGACTACACCTCGGTTTCTTGGTTTCTGTTCCTTAATAAAAGTTTCTGCAGTGCAAGCGTTTTGTAATCCAATTTATCATCTGCGAACTCTCCACAAACTCGGACAGGCTTCTTCCATGCGAAGTGTATCAGAGAAGCCAGCCAAGAATGGAAACAAAAAATGGGAAAAGTTGAACGCCAGCACATTTGTAACGCTGTCTAACCGGGCGCAGCGAAATGTGCGTGTGGCATTTAGTAGGCAGTTGGCGAGCAGTCAGGCACAGCAGGAGCTAGAGTGGGCGATTACACACACACACACACATACACACACACAGTCACATACGCATTGAAATTTTGTTGTCATCATCACTTTGCGCGCAATGAGTGGAAAGCAAATTCCACCGTTGCCGCCCAAGACCAAAAAAGCAAAACTCAAACCGGAGACCAGATCCAGAGTCAGGAGCCATTGCCTGTCAGCCACAAAGTTATCTGTGGCAGTTGCTCACTCCCCATCCGCCCCATCCGCCCCATTCGCCCCTTTCGCCTCTCTGAGCCCCAGCAGAACCGCGCGACTGACATTTTTTGGTGGCATGGTGTCGAGGCCGAAGCCGCTGCTGTTGTTGCTCTTCATGTTGCTGTTGTTGTCATCTTCCGTTTTTAATTTCATCTGCCATTTGCTGCTACTTATGACACATCCTTTGCGGCCCACATACACACACACACACACACACACACACACACACACACACACACACACACACACACACACACACACACACACACACACACACACACACTTATTCACACACTCATAGGCACCCTCCACGCACCGCTTTATGCCGTTTTGGGCATATCGCTGTGTAATGTTTTCGTTGTTGTTGTCATCTTATTTTGTATTTTTTTGTATTTTTTTCTCAACTGGTACTTACCTTGGGATGTGCACGTCGCGGAAAAGCTACTTTCGGATCGACCTGTAAAGAGGCAAGAAGCAAAAAAAAAAAAGTGAGAAGTAGCAGTTTAATGATAAAAAGAGGGCGTTTAATACTAACAACAACAACAACACCAACAACAACAATAATAATTTGTTGACGACGCACCAAAATCGTATGCTTAATGGCATTTAAATGAAAATGTAAATGTAAAGGAGAAAAAAAAGGAAACCAGAACATTTTGCGCTTCTCTTGCAACTCTTCATATTAATAGCCGAGCATAAATCTTGCATAAGCCTGCAATGCGCGCATTAAACGAAATTGCCTGGGGATCTACTATGTACATCACACTGGCATACATACATACATACTTCAGTATATGTGTACTCGTATACATATATACAGAAAGTGAAGTTTTGACTACTATTGTCGTTGCTGTTGTTGTTGTTGTTGCTGGACTCTCAGAATCTGAAAGCTGGCGGTATGCACGAATTAACGCGCAACGAATTGCGCGTATTGGCCAAGGGCCAAGTCGAAATGGCGAAGACGCTTTGGGTTTTTCGCCCCTAATAAGCAGCGTCATTAAAAATAATTAAAAATCATAAAAATTCAATTTGAAACGCTCGCGCTTTCGTTTTTCGTATTACTTCTGCTTTTCTTTTACTGCTGCTTTTTTTTCCCCCGCTGAGCGATTTGACAGCTAACGGTAAAACCTCAATTATTTGATAGCCCAATGCACATTGGGCCAGAAAGCAAATAAATTTTTTTTTTTATTTTTATTTTTTTTTTTTTGTTAAAGCTCCAGCTTGTAGAAACCTAAGTCTAACCAAATTATTTGCTTACTTCAATGACTACACTTTATTTTCTCTGAGAAGAGGAGAGGGGCTTGCAGTGTGGCTTAGCGAGGATTAGGTTTGAGGATTAGCTGCAACATCAAACCGTAGACTGGTCCAAGAAGACGGCTTCAGAACAAAACCTTAAGGCCCATCACTGATTGCGACTAGACAGACCAAGACAGATAATCTAAATCTGAAGACAATCACCAGTAATAATTAGTAATAATTGCTTTAAAACGAACCGAAGCAGACTGGCCAGGCCGCTTCCTAACTTTCGTCCACTACCCGGTTCAAAAAAAGACAACCGGTAGACGTTTTAATATAAACTACCATCAATTATTAGTATCGATCATATATTTGGACAATGCTTAGTATTTTGCTTATTTGTTATCACTTAATCTGTTCTCCGAAACTTTGATATAAATCAAAAGCTGGCCCTTCCCAACGCGCTCATTAAGTAAAGTTTTGCCTTGACAGAAACTTCATAAAAACGGAATTTTTCGCAATGTCACAAGAAAAAGAGATCGGTACCATTAGAAATTCGGTTTTTTAATTTTGTCAATAGCCATGTTAGGAAGAAGCTACTAGTATTGAAAAGCTGCCCATACAATTTTTATTATTTTTACATTTAAACTTCGGACACACTACATGATTCACACATACCCCTATAATTATCTCCTCACCTTTCGTTTTCGCATTTCCATTTTTTCTTACTCATTTTTTGTTAATACGTTATTGTTCATTGCGCTATCTCTACGTAAAAAAATATTTGCAAAAAATTCAAATAAATCTATGAAAGGAGAGAACCTATGTACATACAGCAAATCAAAGCCTCAAAGCCTTGGCGTCAATAAATCAAAATGATGCAAAATCCATTTTAAAGTCCCTCGTTAATTTGTATGTTAATTTTTTCAAACTGTTTTCAATTGTTCACCAATACACAAAACATTGTATCTAAGTATTTATCTATAGTATATCGAAATGTTGTTCAGAATGAATGGGCTTAGACTTCAAATGAGTGTTATGCCAAATATGAGTTCACACTCCTTAACGCAGAAAAGACTATAAAGTCTCTAAGACTGTGATTTGCATACGAATCGAAAGGCAAGAGAAAAGACTAAAAAATTTAATGATTAGGGATAGCCATGGAAGTCTATCTTCTCTAATAAAAATACCTACCCAGGCCAGAGGTACATTAAAAATGGCAATTTAAACTTATAATTTATGAGCGCCGAAGCCATCACTTAACTTTATAACTTTGTTAGAATTGTCGATAGGATTAGCCTAAATACCAAAATACCAATAAAGGATAATTTAAACAACAAAAAATAGAATCGATTTTGACAAAAATAAACGGAAACACTCTATCTTAAACGGTGAATTTCGTTTACCGATTATTAAAAAATCAGTTGAAGAAAAACATGCATTGGTTCTATTTCTGTTGGATCTTATTTTCAAAAACTCACTAGTATGTGGGTGAAAGGAAACAGGAATACCTCTTGGGAAATTTCTTCAATAAAAGTGGAAGCTTTGAACCACAGTTGGAGAGGGGTGCAGAGACAGTTGGGGAAACAAATCTTTTTGAAGTGCGCGCATTGCGTGCTGCTGCATTTATCTAGCCTGTCTCTCTTTCCCTTACTCTTTGTATATATGTGTGTGTATGTGTCTGACTTAAGTCAATGCCACAAAATAAAATGGGAGCGAAATAAAAATGAGAATGGCAAGAAAATCGCAATATCCTTCGCTGGGCTTTGGTCACGAAAGCGAAATAATAATTTGCGCAAAAATTGTCACGCGAAATGCGAACAAAAAAGCGTAAAGGGAATGAAGGTAAAGATAGACTGTGTGTTGGTGCAGGTGTGTGTTTGTGTGTATGTGTGTGTGTGTGTGTGTTGGGGGGGAGGGGAATTTTTGTTAGCTATTGGTCTGTTGCTGTGTTGATTTCCTGCAAAAAACAGAACGGCAGGCGGGAAATTGATTTTTAGATTAAAATTAAAACTAATCAGCGTTGAGTGGCGGCGGTTGTTGGAGATGGCGCTACGGTGCGGTGGCGTTGGCGGTGGCGGTGATGGTGGCGTACTTGCCTCGTTTAGCTTTTTGGAAAAATACATCAGCCAAAAACCGTAACGAAATGAAATGAATTCGTTTTGTGCAGCCAAACGGAAAACGAAAATGTATGTGGCCATGCACACATACTCACACACAAACACACACGCACACATACATACGTGCTTGCATGCATGCATGCATGCCTGGAAAAAAAAATCAGACATAAATGCTGCGCATTTTATTTACAGTTAGCCTTCCCACTCGACTCAACAACAGTGAAAAAAATAAACAAAAACTTAAATGGCCAAATGGACCGGCGCACAGTGGGGCCTTCGGACTTTTTTCGTTGCAAAAATCATATCTTCTGAACGGCTGAAGCAATTTTCGTTATTCAAATTTTGTTTGAAAGAAAAATTCTTAAGCTTTGAAACAAGTCATAGCGCATTGTGCTGTGATTTCTAGGAGCTGCGCAATGTGTGCTCAAAGTTGGATTTTGTTGCCAGTGCAATATTTGCCTAATCAAACTAATAAAAAACATTTAATGATACAATTATTTTCAGTTATATTTGTAGTTTTTAACAAATTAAAAATTGAACAAAAAATTGTTTAAATATTACAAATTTTTTTTAAAATTTAAAAATATTGAAAATTTTTTTTACATAAAAAAAATTAAAATAAAATATTTTGTTAATATTTTATGATTACATTAATTTTTATTATAAAGTACTGACAGCTGCAATTATTTACATTAATATGTTTTCTTTAAAATAGTCGTCTACATTCGAAGGAATATCTAATAATTTCACAATGTCCGAAGAATAATTACTAACTAATTCTTTTTGAGACCTCACATGTCTAAGGGATGAAACCAGTGGATCTGAAGAGGCTGACAACATATTGAAGAGATCCTCGTTTTGCCTTATTCGTGACGTCTTGCATGTGTTCAAATATCTGAATTTTTTATAGTCCTTGTTCCTCGACTCTTGGGCTTCCTCTGACATTTCTCCAATTTGTCATGAAGTGTTACTTGCACTGACTGTTCCGTCACTATTGTGGACTGAGGTACTGCCTCTTTCTTAGCCGATCCTATTTGTTTGTACCCAGGAAGAACATCAACATTATGCCGAATTAGGGAATGCCGCAATATTAAATATTTTTCCTTTGACAATCCCAAATCCATAAACAATGCCAAAGCCTCATCGGCACTGATCCTTTTAAGTCGCACTAGGCGTGCGTCAGCAACCGCTTTTGTGATTTGCGATTTTATTTTTTCCTGATCCTTGGTGTATTTCATGGACAGCGCCTCCGACAAGTGATCCGTAGCTATGGCTTCTGTGACATCGACAAGCTTTCTTTTTCTTGTAAAATCCGAGCATTCTTCAATGGATTTCGTTGGTCTTCCTCTGGCTCGTCCAGTTGATGTAGAGGGTACATCGTCCATTGATGTATCCAATTACGTAGTCGTTGATAGCCAGTTTTCATATTTTAAATCAAATTTCTGCTTGCTATATCCTACGCTTATTCATTTCTGTTTGATTTTAGAATAAATTAATTTAAGCTTATTATATAAATAGATCAAATAATGTTGCATTTTGCACAGCCATGTTAAAGAAAAATCACTTTTAAGGTATTTAAACGTAAATTATATTGAAAAATACTATTCACTGCTAGTTAGACACAACTGATTGCTTTTTAAGTCAAAATTCGACTATTACGCTGCACCAAAAATATTGGCAATATATACCATTTCTAAACGCATACCTAAGATAATAAACTAAAACCTCTTTTTGCCTGTTCAAATGCTTTAAAGCAAAGAAATTACAATTCATGAAAGGGTCAAAAAGATTTCAAGACCTTCACCTGATATTGTAAATTACACTACCTGTAATAAATGTTATGCATAATTTTGGTTGCACAGTATTAAATGTGGATCAAATAGGACCGCTTAGGTATATTTTTGTATCCATAATGCTAAATACAATGTTCCTAATAGCCGATACAGCGAATCTACCTGCAATGCATTCTTCTTCTTATACCCGCGGCAGCGCCTTTTTCGCTGATTTTTTTCCGAAGTTGCGGCACTCTTTTTGCTCTGGTGCACACCGGCGGATCCGGGCGGATGAAAGTTTTATTGCGTTAGGTAAACGAATATTTAAGGAACATATTTTGAAAATATGGGCGAGGTACTTTTGGGTACTTTTTTTTTATTTTCCATCAAAGTTGAAAAACACCCTAAAAATAGGTAGTTTAAAAAATAACGTTTTCTAGATAACTACAAATACGAAAGACATAGTTTTTATTAAATAATGCATAAAATTAATTCATCTAGCAATACAAATCAAAACATCAATGATTCGTTTCATAACTTAGCTAATATTATACCTGAAAGATGAAGTATTTGCATCAAATTGAATTAATTGTTGCGAGCTTAAAAAAGGGTCGACTTTGAGTGCACATATATCCTAAACTATAATTCCGATTTTTTTGAGAGTAAGATTTTCGTAATCTTTGGAAAAAAAACTATTAGACGCGTTTATTCATTACTCCCAAAGCGTTCATGAAAATTTTGATTTTCGCAAGCTGTTTCGGCCTAAGGCCCCACTGTGCGGCGGGACTCGCAAAGCAGCACCACGTACTTGAAAAAAATATCTATGTATATATATTCACTTCCGCAGTCAGCTAATTACATTAATGCCCTCGTGGCGTATACGTAACATGCCAATATTCACTGTACAAACACTCTAAATTCTCGCCTAGCTGACAGCTAATCAAGCCTCCTGCTTCCTCTATCAATAGCTTTCGAAATTGGGAAACAAATTTTAAAAAAATAAACGTTTACAAAAAATTACAAAGGCAGTGGAGCTCATTTAATGCCAGCACGTAATTAAAAATTGTTTGCCATTCAAAAATTTTTGTAGCGCACATCCTTTGACTTTCTAATTGCTGTCAATAAAAAGAGTCACGTGCATTGCTGGCACGGCACACACACACACACACACACACACACACACACACACACGTACACAAATATAAAAAATGCAGTCCCATTTTTTTGGAGTTTTTTGTATTTTTTTTTTTTGACAGCAAATATTTTGCTTTGTCTACAAACATGCACGCCAATGAAGTTTTCCGTCAGTTGCCTAAAGTTAACAAAAAAAAAAAATAGAAAGTGGGGAGAATTGAGCAGAGAAAGCTCTGACTTATTACACCGAGTCCTGAATGCACTTGGAATTGTTTAGCCTGCCAGGAACACTTTCAAGCTGTATTCCTCCATTGGGCTGTGTTCCGATTAAATTTTGTATTGAGCCCTTCGGCATACAATGCAGTTATGGGAACGACAATGGTAAAATCCTTAAGATAGTAATTCGGTAGAATAATGTGGTTTTGTAATTTATTTAATTTCTGACATTTGTAAAAATGATGAAATTCAAAACAAAAATGTATGAAGAATAATTTATGCAAAAACTATTGAATGTTTTCTAAAATGTATTTATGTATGCATTGGAAACGAAATGCCATCGATTTGAAGATACTCAGAACTAGCCAAATACTCTACCTTGAATTTTAGGTAGTATGACTATTATTGAAAGAAGTAAGTAAACTGAAAATTATTAAATTGAATATTAAAAACTTATTAAGTACAATTCTTCTTCAATGAGTCATGTGCAGAAGAAATAATGAAAATTTCTGTCTTCAAAAACAAAATTGTTCTATCGTTTAATTTTGCTAGATTACTGAAATTTATGTTACTATGTATGTTAAGAAGTTTCCTGGATTGCTGTATGAAGGATTATCACACCATTAAATACAGATTCTATTTAGATTTCATTTAATACAGATGTCTTTTTTAACGCAACTATATTTCTTTCTTTTCTTTCTTTTTCATTAAAACAGAGCCTGCTGGCTAGCATTTTCACTGGCCCCTTGCAAAATTGTTAAGCATAAAGAAATTTGACACTGAACCACATGTTTGAAGAAAAAAAAACAGTTAACTAAATTAAAATTAAAACGTTTATAAATGTCGCATATGAAAAAAATGAAACACTACCAGGTAAACCAAAAATTAGATATTTCTTCTTTTACTCAAAAATAAATATTCCTTATTATTATTTCTTTCAATTTTATATATTTTCACATTTCACATTAAAAAATATACGAAAACATCAAAAATAAAAACCTAAATAATATTTATTAATCAATTGTTTTAAACAAACTGCTTTAAATATTTCGAAATATATCCATAGTTTTAACAAACTATTTCCTAAGTGTTAAGTTTAAAGCGTACTTTTTAAATCATTTCAAGTGTGGAAAAAAAATTTGTTTACCTTACAACAAAATATACATTTTTATTTTCTGCAAAAATGTTCTGATATGAAATTTAAATGTTTTCTGATTTAGTTTGTTATTTGAACAAATATCCACAATTTTTATCGTCCTACGACGATTTACAAATCACAGGCACTACATATTTTGAGATCCGTTGAGCTCGCTTAACAGCCTTGGTTTCGGAGACGAAGCGTCACTTCGTTCTTGTGTGTTTTTCTTTAAAAGAGTAGTTTGCTGGCAACTATGTACTAGCAACAATAAACAAAAAGGAAGAATACAAAATAAAAGGAAAAGAAAGCTCACCTTTTTGCCATCTAGTTCGTGTGTGCCTTGGGTTAGTACCTTATCTACGCTATTTGGATCGCTGAATGTGACAAAGCCGAAGCCTCTGTAAAGAGAAAACGGTAAATGGTAAACAACAGTTAGAGAAGTTGGCCAAATATTTGCACAAATGGGCCAACAAGCAACAGCAAAGCAAATGCGAGACAACGATGTTGGAGACAACGTTCGGAGACGAAGTTGGAGACGATGTTTGGAGACGGCGGCGTAAGTTTTACACGTGCGCCAATTAGGCGTCAAAATTACATCAAAATATTAGAAGAGAACGTGCAGGGCAAGCGGAGTGAAGTGTGTGTATGTGTATGTGTGTCGCTTGGGGAATGAGCGAATCAAGCAAACTGAGCAAAGTGAGCTGCTCACTTCAGCTTGTTGTAGTACTTACGAGTATTTGTGTGTAGCACGAGCAGATAAGTGGGTTCTGGTAAGCTACAATTGCTTTAGCCAAGTGTTCGAAGTCTCGTGCTGTCATTAAATACCGCCTCACATCTCTACACACATACACAAGCACACATTAATATATACAAGTATATGTTCATGTTCATGCTTAGCAGCTGCCAGCATTTCGCTATCTCTCATTCACATTCAGTCTCCCGCTCGCTCCCTCTCTCTCTTTTCATCGCACACTCACTCGCTCATGTTGTGATAAACTTATTCTTGTTAAATATTTAATTAAAATGCTTATTATCTTGCACTGCATTTTAATGAGTCTCCCATGCCCAAGTAAGCAGACAACACAGCCAACGCAGGCAGCAAAGGCAACGAAGGCAACGAAGGCAACTCTGGCAGCAGGAGTCAGCCAGCAGCAACCAGTGTGCCAAAGCAACCAGGCAGCCAGCCAAACAACCATCCAGGCAGACAGCAAAGACAACAAACCAGCTCACAGATTTGGGCCGTGTCTATAGCTGTGTGTATGTAAACCTCGATGTAAGTGTGTGTATATGTGAGTGTGTGTGCCAACGGTTGTGTTTATTTGAGTTTTGGCACTTTCCAGCGACGCTTAACGACGCGCGCTGGCAACTTCTTTTCGTATGCCACACACAGACCGAGAAACAGTAACGATTGCCTAAATAAAATTATTAAAATGGTCCAAAAATATTTGCTGTATTTAAGCAGAAAACGAAATTATCATATCTGGTTAAAGTACAGTATTGAGTCGGCATAGAAACTATTTATTTTTTTCCTATTCCCTTAGCTTTATCCTTGTATTTATACCCTGTACCCAAAGGGTAAAAGGGTATATTAGTTTTGTGCGAGTGTAGATGGAACACACAGAAGGAGGCGCGGCAGACCCCACAAAGTATATATATTCTTGATCAGGATGACAAGCCGAGTCGATATAGCCATGTCCGTCTGTCTGTCTGTATGAACGCAAGGATCTCAGAAATTTGGTATCCAGATTCTCCTGAGCCAGAGAAAGGACGAGTTTGTTAATTTTTTCTAATGAACCCTCCTTCCTAAGCAATTCCTGCTCTTCTATGTCGTCTTAGCTTTTCAATTCCTCTAGGCCCGTTTTCCCTCTACTGCTCAACACATGCACCACAGATAAGGCATTGCAGAATCATTTTCAGCTTTTCACAACTGAATTCCCTCATCAAAAGGGACTCTTTTTAAATAGCTTAGTGAGAATCTCTGACCCCACTCGACTCTGAGCAGCGACTAAGCTTGTTAGTCAGTCAATTACATTTTAAAGTACCTAGTTTTTTTACAGACAGGAAGAAGGAAAGGAAGAATGGTACATTTAGATTCATCCGTTTGTCTCAGTCACAACTTCTCTCACAGTCTTAGAGCTATAGTGACGGACACATATAGTACATACTATACTATACTACTTGCAGTATGTCACGACCACACAAGTCAACCAAGATACGATATGATTTGAAACTAGTTTTTATTTGTTTCAAAAAAAAGGGGAAAAAATTGCAAAAATGTTGTAGTTACATGTTATGTTCATATTCCAAGCTTTACTAGCTTGAGATTCTAGGTATGAATACGAAGTTTAACACAATGGGCCTGTATTTGGATCGTTGGGACTTTCCTTGCTTCTAAGTTGGAAATAAAAATACATTTCGAATTCTTAGAAACAAGTTTCTTTAGTCAAATTGTCGACCTTAGCTATAAAATAAAATGTAAGATTTTAAAAAATACTTGTAGTTTAAAGAATATTTTAATGCATTATTTATATTTTAAGCTTTTTCGATTTAAAAAATATTCTTCTTTAAAACCATATATTTTTAGTTCAAAGAAACTAACTGTTTCCATTGACAAGTTTTAAGTAGAATTTAGAAACAATATAAACTAAAATTTTCGCTCCACATTATTGAAAAATCTCTGTTGAAAAATGTATTGTTGAAATATCTGGCTTAAGTGGAAATGTCCATTTATGCATTCCTAATGCAGGAATATCCATGATGGAAAACAAACAACATCATTTCTCAATCAGATTGTATTATTGAGAAAAGTGCCTCAATTCCTAAACATCTCTCCTGTTAACAAATTTCCACTGTATGTCTATATAAGTATTTGTGATGTGCCTCAGCAACGTGCTTTGGTTTGCGTTGCCTTTCCCGCTTCTGCTTCTGCCCTAACCAGCAGTTATAAATATGCGGCAAACGTAGGAGCCGCCTCTTAACGCACACACACACACTCACAGCCCTATACACGAGCACGCACACCCACAATCGCACAAATATATGAGTTTATATAGAAATACAAAGCTACAAACAACAACCACAAGCACAGACAGTAATTAACGACGATTCTATTGCAATTGTGGCAATTGTTACGGTTTTGATTCCACAACCAGCTCCAAGCACATGACCAGGAAGACAAGGCAGGCAACCAGCCAAGCAAACCGAACAAACCGAGCCAGCAATGTAAGCAACGAGCACGAGTATCTCTATGGGTGTAGAGTCTAGACCAAGAGCCCCACTAGCAGAAACATACCCAGAAACAGAGCCAGCAGCTGCTCCAATCCACTTGCTTTTTATTGCACGAACTTTGTATACAAATTGCTGTGCAATGCAATGCACAACAATAACAATAGCAAAAACAAGAACTACAACTACAATAGCAACTACAATACTAATAGCAATTGCAAACAGCAACGACAATTTGTTGTTGCAAATTTTATAAAAACAATTTGCATATGGAAAAGGTTTGGGGCCAAGTTGCGCTTCTGCCTATTAAATAAACATTTTGTATTTATAGACGAGCAATTTGTGCGCTGCAATTTAAAAAGAAACCGACATGGCAGAAAGAAATAGGCGTAGGCTATTAATATTGATTTAAATGGGGGCGGGCATGGCTGGTTAAGATGACATGCCTTTTGTTTTTCTAAGTGTGTCACACGCATACTTGTACATACTATATGTACACGTGTATACACAAAATTGCTTGAGAGCTAAAAGTGAGAAGTGCCACAAAGTTGGGCAGAGATTGTTGCAGCAAGTGGCAACAACAGCAACAGCAACAGCAATAGCAGCAGTAGTATTGGACTGGCCTACAAAATGATGGCATTCTCATCGTCCTCGTCATCGCCCTCGCTGGCCTCTTGCTCTCAACTCTCGGCTCAGCCTCAAAGTGAAAAGCCACAAATTTAAAAGGCAAAATTCAAAAATAATGTGTCTCCTGTGTGCAATTTACTCACAAATTCAGATTCAATTTATGCAACTCGAGTCGACAGGCAGGAGCAGCAGCAGCAGCAGCAACAGCAACAGCAAGAGCAGCAAGCCCTGGCATGGCGAGCCGGGCAGAGCCAACGAGCTGGAGGGATAACAACAGAATTTGTGCAGCAACAACAACAACAACAACGACAACAATGGGCAATACAATAAAAAGCAAAATAATACTTACACACATACATACAGAAAAAGTAAAACCAAAAACAACAACTGTAATACATGCAGTTCACCCGACCATCTCATTCTATGTACGACCTATGAACATGTGTACGAGTATGTGTGTACACTCAAAGAAACTTATATAGAGAAGTCCAACTCGTAAATGAAAAAAATGCAACACTTTTATTGCGCAAACTTTGAGGCAAGCAACTGAATTCAAATTAGAAAACCAGAATTCTTCAATGAGATAAAGGCACTTGCTTAAAATTTAACTACCTGGCCAGCTAGGGAACTAGTTGTATAAATAAAGAGTTGTATGGTATAGCAAAGAAAAAGGATTTCCAAACAACTGTGAACAACAAATTTAGACTGTTATAATAAGGATCGTCTAACACAAATTCGCAACTTTACAACAAATCCAAGCAGACATGTTGCTTGAAGTACTGGCAACAACCAGGTACTTTCTATTCCCTTTCAAGTTATAGATTTGTTCAAATTTTACAACCAATAATTCTGACGAGACAAACCTATCTAGACCTGTTCGTCCGTCTGTATGAACGCCTGGATTTCGGAAAAGAGCGGAGCCTACGTTAAGCAGACTTTGTCTGTATACCGTCCTAGTCCTTATGCAACAAAGGTTTATTTTATTATTTGATGTCCCAAATATTTTGCACATTCATGAACATGTATTAACATTATAAAATTCAACTCAAAATGAATTCTACTCTAAAACATAGTTTTCTGCTTCGACAAATAACTTTTGAATTCACTTTTCAGAGGCTCGTTAAGAACCAAAATACATTTGTGTGTATTTGTACCGTCACTTTAGGCATCAGTTACATTTATAGTAGACAAATTCGAATATTTCCATGTAAAATGGTGGAGCTATTTTTATTATCTATAAGAAGATAGTCGAAATTTTAGAAGATTTCTAACATTTCAAAACTGTGTTAATGTTGCGTTTATATTAAAAAACATTTGTTATTTTGAGAACTGAATTTTCTTATAACGATTTCTAACACAACTAATCGAAACTTCATGTTTCGAACATTTGTCATCCAACTTGATATTCTAGAGGATTAAATTAAATCAAGATTTCAGCGCAAATTGTTCTGAGTGCACGAGCATGCAGCGGCTGGATAGCAAGCTCGCTCGGATCTTGTTGCTTTCGCAAATCGTAGTATGCATGGTGTTTGAATTTTATAAAGCC